AGACCATGACGTGTCCGAGTCTTCGCAGTCTCTCTATCAGCAATACGCAGGGAATCGAACCGTGTCTTCAAGTTCAAATACACCACATGGTTTCGATACGCCCTTGATACCCCAACCGCCGCCTCCTGGATTACAGAATGACACGTTTGTCTTCTCAGAAGACAATATCCCCTTCAGACGCCCCACGGACGTTTTAACCAATATTCGCGATTTTACTCACAGCCAACAGTACGAAACTGCAGAGGATGATTACTGGGAAGACGAAGACGAAGACGACGAGACCCGCTTCATCAATTTCGCCATGTTGTCACATATGGCGGTTCAGTTACGTGACAGGGTTCCGCGCGGAACGCATGTAAAGGGCAGTATTCCGTATTCTCGGGCGTTCACCGGCAAGGATATAGTGGTGAGTACGACCGCGTCAATTTTTTGCTTGATTTGAATTTCTGTACCCAGTCGACGATACAATCTATAATCCAGCGCGAACTCGCAATCAATCACGGAATGTCGACGAACGATAGACGCGCGGCGTTACATGTAGCGAGGAGCTTGCAGAGCCAGCTTTTCTTCTACGAAGTTGAATGGGGAAATCGCGTGTTACAGGACAACGTCGAAGATGTCTATATGTTTTTGGATGATCAAGAAGGTTCTTCAGATGCAGTCACGGAAAGAGAAGAGCTCCCGACCGGTGTTATCACCATGTTGACCAGATGTTATGCGCCGATGTGCGGTGAAGGCGGCATGTGCTATTCATATGGATGTCCTCGCATGGTTCGTTTGAGCTGCATCTCTCTCGTGGTATCATATTTTGACGCGACTCCAGAAAAATTCCATGACGGGTCCTTTACCATCACCGACAGAAGGACCTTCTACAAAAGCAGAATCTTGGAGCGCAATGGTTGACCCAGAAGTTCTCAAGTCCTTGCCCGAAAGCGAAAAGAACCGCCAAGAGTAAGCCAAAAATGGCCTTGTCGCAACAATATGCTCACTCGATTTTGTTTCTTAGTATCATCCATAGCATTATCTCAAGAGAAGAACAGTATATAGAAGATCTCAACACCGTCGAATCGGCGTTTATCAAACCACTGATCACGGCTAATCCTCCTGTCGTACGCTCGGAAGACTTGGACCGATTTATTGACGATGTCTTTGGAAATATTCTTGATCTTCGGGAATGCAATAGGCGGCTGCTCGAAGTGATGTATGTCCGACAGAGAGAACACGCACCGATCATTCAGAAGATCGGAGACGTCTTTTTAGGCGCAGCAACGGAATTTAGGCTTGCCTACCCAGATTATCTTGGCCATCACCCTATAGCTGAAAAGAGATTGAAGGAGGAGATGGATAACAATGTAGAGCTCAAAGTATTCCTCGAGGTGAGTATCGCTTCTCCTTGATCAAAGCTTTGGAAGTTAAGATGTTCGGACAACAGCATTGTGAACGACAAACGGCTCGTGAAGAAGAGTCTATTTCATTTGACCTGAAGCACTTTTTGAATAGACCATCAGAACATCTTAATAAATACCCTGTTCTGTTGGAAGCTATACAGAGCGAGACGGAAAAGGATAACCCTGATGCAGAATTTTTGGGGGAGGCCATCGAAGCGTTCAAGAGTCTGCAATCTATTGCGCAGCTACGGACGTTCCAGACGGCCATGGGCAAAGGTGTACCAGGGAAGTGGGAATGGCATGATCTAGTCTCTCCAGAGGTCAGGCAAACGTTCGCAAAGAAAGACGCCAAGCGCCAAGCGTGAGTTTGGCATCCAGCCCTTTAAAACATTTTTTTGGATGCTGATGCACGTCGAAAGCATCATCTTTGAATTGATCAAAGGTGAAATGGCTTATGTTAAGGATTTGGAAAACATCGAGGCTGTATGTGAACCGTCTAAGGGGGAATGATTCATGCTTACGCGTTTATTAGATGTACATCAAACCACTACGCGAAGCTGACCCGCCTATCCTTCCACAACAAAAACTTGAACAATTTATTCAAGACGTTTTCCACAACTATCGCGAGCTATATGAACACCACGCCAAGCTTGTTGAGAAATTCCACGAGACCCAGCGTGAACAACATCCTAATATCCGGAGTATAACTGCTGCCGTGTTCGACACGGCGTTGCATTTTAGAGAAGCCTATATGGAATATGTTCCAAACTATCCGATTGCGGCATACCGAATAGACGATGAGATGGCGAATAACCCGACTTTCAAGGCATTTGTCGAGGTATGTGGACAAATTATTGACCTGCCGAACGTTGTCTACATACTTTGCAGAGCTGTACTCGTCATCCAGACGCACACCGACTTGATATGAAGAACTTCATCAACAGGCCTATACCTCGCTTGCTGCGGTATGAATTGCTGTTGAGAGGTATCATGGAAGAGTCACCGGAGGGGCATGAAGACCTGGAATCGATTCCAAATGTCATCGACGTTATCAAAGCTCTGGGCAAGGACACTGAACCCGGTGTCACATCAGCCAAACAAAAAGTGGAGCTTTGGCGATACAACTCGAATCTAGTCTTCAAAAACGGAGAAGTCATTGTAAGTTGTGGATATGTACCGACCTGGACGTTTCTTGACCTGATCTTTCAGGATCTGGATCTCCTGGACGAGAACCGTTCCTTGCTTTACTCCGGCAAGCTACTCCGACAACCTGAGAGTGGTCTGGAATGGAGTGGATGGAGTGAACTCTTTGTCTTATTATTCGACAATTATCGTGAGTATAATCGTATCCTGTGCGCGTCATTATACTGAATTGTGCACGCAGTGGTAATGACGAAAATAAAGGAACGTGATGGCGTGACGAAATATATCGTCAATAGACGAGTACGTTTCTCTCTCGCTTTGCTATGACCCATAAATAACGGTTGATCTCCTTTCGCAGCCTATTCCACTTGATCTGCTGACCTTGGTCAATTACAACGACCCCCCTACTCAAAGAGGTGCAGGGTTGCTACGCGGTCTTCGGGGCGGGCATGGAGGAGAAGCTGTGGCGCCTAATACGCCTGGTGCATCCCCGGAGACACCCAACGACTCTCGATCAGTATATCCCGTGACACTGCATCATAACGGCAGAATGGGTGGTGCTTATCTTCTCTACGCTGAATCGCAGCAAGCGCGGCTGGAATGGAAAACCAAGCTGGACGAAGCGCTTGTTTTGCGAAGAGTCGTGCAGGACTCGAACAAGGTGTTCGAGATTGAGACGCTCAGCGCGGATACGTTCCTTATTCCGTCTTTCATTGGCGCGCAGCAGCAGTCCTGGAACCAGGACATGTTTACTGGGAAGGTGACTTGCTCGGTGCCATTTAGTAAGTTCTTGGAGTATACTTGACCTTCGTCAGCTGACTCGGGTCGAAAGCTACCTCTGATAGGCGTGCGTTGGTCGCAATTGGATGTGCAGAAGGCGTCTGGATCGGCTTTAGACATGATCCTAAATGCAAGTTTTTTAAACTTGTCTAGAAGAGTTTTTTTTTGATCCCACATCTAGCGTTGCGTCGTGTTTTGCATTTGAAGATGGTGACACAGTGTGCTATGCTGGAAGAGTTTGGGATCTTCCTTGTCCTGGCTGACAAGGTAAAGTTTTACGACTTGGTTGCCAAGTCATACTCAAAGCTTTTTATAGTCTCTTTTTGCATACCATATTGAAGCTCTCGTGCCGAGTTCATCGCATGCTTCGCCCGCTTCACAAGTGCCTCAGAAATTGAATGGTTCCAAGGACGTCCACTTCTTCCGTGTAGGAACTCTACACAATCGGACTCTGGTCGTTTACATGAAGAAAAAAGGGGTACGTTCGATTCGAATTAACTCGTTTCATTCTCTAATACTATTTCTTTCTGAAGCTGGATAGCATCTTCCGTGTTCTAGAGCCCGTGGGAGAAAAGATAAATCAGAACGTCAGAGCACCCATTGGCCTGTCATCACGTCTGGGTCTACGTTCCGCCAAATCAGAGTGGTTCCGGATCTATAGAGACTTCTTCCTACCGTCGGAAGCATTTGATCTCATATTCCTCAAGGCAAGAGTGGCCATACTTTGCGCCAAAGGTTTCGAGATCATGGACTTGCACAAGTAAGAGTATTTTCTACTGCTGACGTCGAGCATTCGACTGAAAGATACCTAGTTTCGACAGTGTCACTATTCCACAGCGAGAGGATCCTCGACTGGCACAGCTTGCCAGACGCTGTGAATCCGCTCGTCCAAAGGGGATGTTCCGCTCAGCTGAAGATGAATTCCTGCTGTGTTATGATGGTACGCCTTTTTTCCCACTCGCAACGTCATTCTTCTCATCATTCATCTCCAGAATTTGGAGTCTACGTCGATAAGCACGGTGACCCAAGCCGGTCGGCGGGTACAATAGACTGGGAAGGCACTGCCGAACGAGTGGCGCTCCACTCGCCGTATATCCTACTCTTCGACAGCCGATTCATCGAGATCCGACACATAGAAACTGGAAGACTGGCCCAAATCATATCTGGAAACGAGATCAGATGCATCTGGGATGGACGAGGAATCGGCTCGAACGTCTCTGCAACGCCGGTGGACGGGCGGAATAGCGACAGCGTGGAGGACCCTCAGGTCCACGCGGTGATGACGAACACGGAGCTAACGATGGTGGGGAATAACAGGAAGGCTGTTGCGCAGAACGTTTTTGAGCTGATCCCGACTGTGCCTTTGTATCTCCCTGGATCGTTGACGGGACCTCCGCCTCCAGCTGTTGGATTCATACCTCAATCGCAATCGCCGCCGGATTCGCCGGATCTGAGAACGTCAGCGTCGTGGAGATTATGATGCACGTCGTGACATGGACATATCTGTACTAAATGTTTTAAAGGTATTATTACAAAAATCTCACCCTTTTGGCTTTCTCGTGTTGGTCTTGTTTGCTTTATTGTATATTACGAATTCTATGCTAGGACAAGGAGATAATATACAATTTATCTCGACGCGAGGCTGGTGGTATACCATGGCTACATGCTGGGAAGTGGAGAGAAAAAAAGCTGCCCCAGTGAGGCTCGAACTCACGACCTTCCGATTAACTCGTGGTACATTATGCACAATGAACACTGTGCATAGTGCACCAGGCCATAACAGTCGGACGCTGTAACCAACTCAGCCATGGGGCAATTACAGGATTGTAGTGTTGAGCTATATAAAAATCAAACTCAGATTCTGACCGAAGATGACGCGGATTACCTCTCCCGATTAGGCAGCTTCGTCGTTTCTATTGGTGCTCACCCGAACGCGTTTTATTTTTTCTATCAGACCCTTCTCTCCTTCTTCGTGACGACTTTTTTGGTTGCTTCCTCATGCATCTCACTCTTTGCTTGAATGCTTCGTCTGGGCTCGAGCCTTTATTTCATCGTCGTCACGTTCATTCGTTTCCAAAAGTGTCTCGAGTTACCGGGACGCTGCCAGCATTTGACGTTAGCGTCGGTATCAGGAACATTGACATCCAAAACATGTACAGGTGCCGTCTCTTGCCCGAGAACGGAATGATAAGACGGGCCGAAGCCGAGTTGAGTGAGAGATGTATGAGGATGTATGATAAATACATAGGGAACCGTGCCCGGGGTGGAGAGACCCAGGTAACACGCATCCAAATACTATAAACGACACTTAGACGCTCATTATCTCTGTTGCAAGCGGTCAGGGCAGATTCCAGCTTTCGCACTCATCCCAGGCTTACGCTTAGTACTCTTGAAGCCTTGACTACGCACCGCGTATGTCCAATTCGACTCGTTCAGAGATTATACTTTCACCGTACTTTTGGTTGCTCTTTAAAATCTTTTCTAGGTCAGATGCTGTGACGGACGCCGAAGCCCTTGTTTCTAGGCGCCTAAGAGTTATGCATATAAGAATGAACACATTCAGGTTAGATGCTGTGAAGCCCTTGTCTCAAGCGGCCAAGGGGTGTGCAATAGCGATGTTTAGATCGAGCTCGAATCTCGATATTATCGCAAGCGTCAAGTTGAACGTTTCAAGGTTGTCAACTTTCCAATACCGCCCCTGGTATCCCTGGCCCTAATCCGATGTTCGGGCCAGTTCTCGGGCGGAGAAGAATTTCTGGTTCGAGTCTAGCGCACGGATCGACCAGTTGCAGTACAAATACCGAAGGCAGGCTTTGACAATGTACTGGACTCAATGCTGTCATCCGTCGTTGAAGTATCTATCATTGCGACGACTACGCAGGCACTCGTAACGGGCGTGTTTTTTGCCACGTTCCTCGTATGCCTACGATGGCTTGTCTTTTCAGACGACGGCAGGACGCTGCGCAAGGGGGTTCATTGGCCCTCCTTGATCATTACTATCATCTTCTCTGCTTTCGCAGTGACAGACTTCAGCCTCGTTTTGCAAACTACTTTACTCGTTTCTGAAGGTTACAGTGGCGTGCTGCATATTCCACGTGTTATCAATGTACGTAACTCAAAAAATCAATTGACATCGTCAAATTGAACTCTCTTCAGTATTTTATAGAAATGTTGACGCCAATTATAATTGACGGCGTCTTGGTTTGTGAATAAACAAATTAAATAGCCTGCTATTCATCGTACTGCAACAGATCTTCCGTTGTTGGGTGATTTACGATAGATTGTGGCGTGTCGCGCTCCTTCCCCTCCTCCTAATGCTATACAACATATCAAGTCTTCTCGAGGTGACATATTTGAACGCCACTGTCCATGGAAGCCTTATTGATCGACGTGATATATTTGAGTTGGGGCAGTTTTTTGCCAGTTCCACCGTCATAAACATATATGCGACATGTACGTGAGGCGATTACTCTGCATTCCATGATACTAATCCGTAATGAAGTTGCTATTATATTGAAAATCTGGAGAAATACTTTGTCTCCATGCCTGGCCCGTTTTGTAATTCGCGTTATCGTCGAATCGGGTTTATTGTACACCCTTACGAACATTGCCACCTTTTGCGCGATGATTTTTAGTCCCGATTCTGTGCTCTGGATAACGCATGCTATTGTATGTTATCAATGAATCAAATGCTGCTGGGGACCGTATCTCACTTCTGCGTCCAGAGTTTTCCCACTTCATTAATCGCTTATAACCTCATATTGATAAGGGTAGCGCAAAATAGGGCTACACCTAAACCTGAACTGCCTACATTCATCAGTGAGTCTACTATTGAACGTGCTATTCCATCGGAAAAAGTCGCCTCCTGATGATATGCGGTGCGGCAGGCGTCCTTCTAATTTCATTTCCCTTTATCTTGTCTCAGTGCATACACGTTCTTCAAGTTGTTCTTTCTGTTGTTAACTTGTTTCTCCGCACCCGAACTTTATGTTTGACTTCGACCTATTATCCTTCGTCTGTATCTTTTCATACGAACTCGGAATAGGATGCAATTTTGACGGTCCCCATCATAAGTGCATCGGTTGTCTGCGTCCAAGTGCACTGATTTTCAGGAAGTGCGCCGATATGGCTGTGCCCAAGTGCACCAATCCTCGAGTGCACCGGTTGGTGCACCGGTGAAAACTGAGGTGCGCACACAATGCCACATGAGGACCTGGGGTGTTGGAGTTGCCAGAAGAACAGCCTGAGCTGCCGACTCGGAGGATGACCCTGGTTCGCTGGTCACATGGCACCCTATGTGATGGAATTGCGCTGAGGGCGCGCAGACAGGTGCACCAGCATGGTTAAGTTTGGCCCAGGCATGTGCACTGACTGCATTGGCAGGAAAATATAGTATTTTACGAGTCTATAAGGTTTATATTATTCAGTGTGCGGACTAGTTACTAGTAGGCGAGTGGAAGACGGTGAGGGGGAGGCCAAGAGAGCAGCTGGGTGGGATGTACCAGGCAAGTAGAGACAAAAGTGGGTTGGCAGGTTGCAGAGTTAGGTAGCATCGAACCGGCGGTCATAGGAATGTACGGGGATACAGCCTTGCAGAGCAAACAACGGGGCGCAGTGGGGAAGCAGTGACCTTCCTATGACACAGCCTACCGACGCAAAAGGGGTATCAGGGTCGATTCCAGCAGTTTACATGGCAGGGGACGTGTAGGTTAAGTGCCGAACAGCTTTCCAAAGGGTGAGCGAGAGTCTATGCCCTGGGAGCGACCGCCGACGAACGTCTAGCTCCTGAATTTTCTTTCACTCACCTCGAGTCGACCATCGATGAGACTCGATGAGACTCGATGGATGAGTCCGGCAGCGTACGATGCGATCACCCACGGTGGGTGCAGTGACTAAGAACTTGCAGGTGGACCGTAGGTAAGATCCACTCCAGCCAGTGTGATACACCTCTGAAACCAGCACTTCAATCACCTACTTCAGAAGCATCCTCACCTCCCCCGCGCAGGTTGTTGGTAATAGAAGCGACATGTACCGGGGCAACACAACGGGCAAAACCTGGGCAGCAGATGAAAAGGAACGCGTCAGATTGGGAGCAGGCGAGCGCGACAGAAAGTGTAAATACGGGGGACTTGGTCACTAGTGCAGTTGCCGGCCACTTTTCTCGTCACCGGATTTAGAATCTTCGATACGAGTTGTAAGCGGCTTAACCTTGCCGCGGCGCTCATATAGCGCGTGGTCAGCTGTAAATGTAATGTATCTTTCACCCTGACCGTGCACATTAACCCCCTGTCGTCCCATGTCTGTCTCCATAATTCTGAGTCAAAGTCAGTCGAAATCCTGACTACGTGCGTATGTCCAATGTCACGACGAAGAAAGGCATTTATACTTTCATCGTGTTGCTGTTTACTTATAATCATGAATTATCTTTTCTAGGTCTGCTGTGACGGAACCTGAAGCCCCTTTGAGCGGCTAAGGGATGTGCACTGGCATGCCTGAGTGTCAGTCAGAGCAGTGTGCCAACACTGGATGTCGTGCTGTTACTATTAGCCACTATTAGTAATGACCACCCATTCGAAACCCACCACCTGGCACCAACCCAGAGAAAAGAGGTATGGAGTATTGGACCAGAAAGAGATTGCTGCAGATAGATAGCGATGTTTAAATCGAGCTCGGTCATCGCAAGCGTCGGCTTTCCAATCCCGCCCTTCAACACTTCCATCATTAATCAACAGCCTAGAGTCACTGATCGATGTCATCTGCCAATAGAATTGTGGGTTGTGAAATTCACAAGGAACCACTCGACTCATCTATATAGCAGAAGGGGCCTGCTTCACCGGATCGAGTCTCAAAGCAGTTGGACCAGCTGAAGTACAAATACCAAAGGCCGGTTTTGACAATGTACTGGACTCAATGCTGTCATTCGTCAAAGTGTGTATCATTGGAACGACTACGCAGGCATTCGTAACGGGTGTATTTTTCGTCACGTTCCTCATATGCCTACGATGGCTTGTCTTTTCAGACGATGGCGGAACGCTGCGCAAGCCGATTCATTGGCCCTTCTTGATCATCACTATCATCCTCTTTGCTTTCGCAGTGACAGACCTCAGCATTGCTTTTCAAACTACGTTACTCGTTCTTAAAGGCTACAGTGGTATGTTGTATATGCTCCGTGTTATCGCTGTACGTAACTCAAAAAATCATTTTACATCGTCAAATTGAACTCTCTTCAGTATTTTATGGAAATGTTGACAACAATTATAATTGACGGCGTCTTGGTTCGTGAATAAACAAAGCATATAGCCTGCTATTCATCGTATTGCAACAGATCTTCCGTTGTTGGACGGTTTACAATAAATCGTGGCGTATCGCGCTCTTTCCCCTCCTCCTAATGCTATACAACATATCAAGTCTTCTCGAGATGGCATATTTGAACGCCACTGTCCCTGAAGTAGTATCAGGAGGCCTTATTGATCGACGTGATATAATTGAGTTGAGTACGTTTTTTGCCAGTACCACCGCCATAAACATATATGCAACACGTACGTGAGGCGATTACTCTGCATTCCACGATATTAATTCGAAATGAAGTTGCTATTATATTGAAAATCTGGAGAAATACTTTGTCTCCACGCCTGGCCTGTTTTGTAATTCGCGTTATCGCCGAATCGGGTTTATTAAACACCCTTACGAGCATCGCCACCTTTTGCGCGATGATTTCTAGTCCCGATTCTGTGGTCTGGATAACGCATGCTATTGTATGTTATTAATGAATCAAGTGCCGCAGGGGACCGTATCTCACTTCTGCATCCAGAGTT